TATGTATATATATATGTATGTATGTATGTATATATATATATATATGTATGTATGTATTAAGCAAAAGAGATCATGTTACAGCGAATAAAAAAATAAGATGCCACACATTAAAATGCAAAAACAGATAGAATTTGAAAATTACATTAGAGGATAACAAAAACCAAACTGACTCTAAACTCTGTTCAGGTACCTCAGTATTGTTAAGTGATGCTAGTGCAATACAAGCTCGAGAAAGTAGAAAATTCCCTGCCAGCACGGCAAGCTGCAAATAAAGACAATGTCAGTAATCCATACACTCTAATAATTAACTTTGGGAAATTGCAGATTAATGTACATCTAACTATACTTGGAACCTTTGGATATGGATTCAATTTCACTAAATCAAGAACCATACCTTTGTATACACATAAAATTAATTTCCTCCGTAACTTCAAGTCAATATTATACAAAAGGATCAATTTTTTGTTGGATGTGCTGATCCAAGCTAAATTGAAATGCAGAAGCAAGAAGCCACAAGAATGTCGATAGAATTTCGATAGCATGGAGAAACCAAGCGACTACAAAGTAAACATATTTATGCAATCTGTCACAATCATCTGTGTACACAACCACATAGGTAAATGAAACCGTATTCTGAAAATGGAGTGGTCAGTTGGTTTCTTGCAATCTCCTAAACCCTAACCCCTCAGTCCCTTAAATGCAGATTGCTTGCAGTGCCTCTTAATGCTCTAGACACAACTTAAAAAATCTCTAGGTTTAGATACAAGTATCTTGTAAAAAGATTCCTGAAAAATGTTCTTGCATACAAGGAATGTAGAGGCTGTCAATCAGTTGATCTCTGCATGCTGAGTAATTGATTTGTATCATCGCGTCTATGTGCAGTGATTGACAGTAACCTGGGCGATACATGGGATTTCAGGTAAAACTTCGTTGACACACGTGCTTGCCTCTATCATGCACTAGCTGCCAATCAAATCTGTAATCTGTTTAGTTTATAATATTGGTGTACTTACTACGGTAAAACTATGCAATGTTGCCCTCTATATAAACATTGTTATCATTTTAGGTATAATTCTTCTTCAAGTGAAAATCTTTAATAAAATAATGCACAGAAATACCTTGTTTCCCATCACAAAATTCAATGAACCTATTCCACGCCTCTTGTCCGCATCATCCAACACATCATCATGAAGAAGGCTTGCCACCTAAGAAGACAAGGAAAAAGAAAACTGAAGATCCAAATATATGGCGTATTTAAAAACAAAGGAGATTCAATCTGCTACATTTGACAACTAAGTATCCGAAATATTAAATCAAGAGTAATGATTAAAAAGGAAAGAAAATGATCAGTTGGAACATACATGAATCATTTCAGCTATTTCTGCAATACACTGCTGCCTTGCACGCAATTTGTGTGATACGCTACTAGGTGCACCAGTACTAGCAGATATAGGCTTGGATATGTTTAGAGCTGATGCCATTAATAATAAGACCTGTATGCACAAATTTCGCAGTCACAGTCGGAATGAAAGAAGAAGAAAGAGTAACTCAGATGATGTATGTATCCTTCAGGAAGGAACACATGCTTTATGTCACATTGTTCTGCATGTCAATAAACTAACAGCAAGCACGCGTGCACAGATGTCTGCAGTGTCAGAACAGGCAGCAGAAAGCAATGAATCTGGTTTGGCACCATTTCCTACACTAGGTTGCATCAAATGTAGTATGTCAATAAATTTTTTCAAAACTATGCTCCAGATTTGGATTAGATCAAATTGTGATCAAGTGGTGGGGACTATGTCATTCAGCTCCATTTTAGAAAACTGCCTATTGTGTCACAGTTGTCCTAAACACGCACAGACACAAAAAATAGAAACATGCGCACAAGAACACATAACCCAAAATAAACTAAAATGATTTGATTGTCAGTGATGTTAAAGAAGCCAAAGAAGATAGCAGTTAAACCTGTGAAAATCAACAGTTGGAAAAAATTGTTATACTTACAGTAGGACGGAACCTTTTCCCCTCGACTCCCATTTTAAAAAAGTACTTAGCAGCTAATGCTAAGCTGGGGACCTGTAAAAATTCACACAATCAACATATATGATACACAGAAGCCAAATATATGACATAGTATGCAGTTCCAAGTAATACATGCAACTTTAGCGCTTGTAAAATTTATTTTTTTTTTTTATTTTTTATGGGGGGGGCGGGGGGGGCCGGGGGTTAGGGGCTGCAGAAAATATATTATATTTCATACTCCCTTTAAAAGTACGAGTTCGGAAAACCTTTCGGTAGACAAAAATATCCTTAAAATTCAAATACTAATCCATTAAGTAAGAGTAAGTTAAAAAATTAATGAATTCTTATTGGATGTACATAGTGTAAAGATAAGGATATAGTTTAAATTGAAATGTAAATCTGAATGAAATTATTAAATAATAAATTTACAAATGTATACAAGATGAAGGGTGTTTATGCAAAAATCAAACAAATTAACGAGACAAATAATGTCTGCTCCAAAGGTCAAACCAAGAAACAGCGCAGACCTACAAATGTACATAATGTGGACGGGATATTTGCAAATCTACCAAACAAATCAAAGAGACAAAAATCGTTCTCAAAATTATTAAAAAAAATTAAAACAATTGTTATTCTCTCACACGCAACATCACATACCAATATGTATAAGTCAAGAAATTACAACAATTTTCATAGCACTTTCATCTCCTTCTATATGTATGTGCCTTATGTTATTTTCTTTTTATTAGAATAGATTAGATTGTTTTAGAGCAATTAATTATATTGTATATTTAATCTTTTTTCATATCAAGAAATAACAACAATTTTCACAATGTTTTCATCTATTTTCTTCTTATTAGATTAGATTAAATTATTTTAAAGTAATTATTATATTGTATGTTTGATCTTTTTTTCAGATTAGAAATTGCAACAATTTTCATACCACTTTCATCTCCTTCAATAGGTATGTGTCTTTGTTATTTTCTTTTTATTAGGTTAGATTATTAGATTAGATTATTTAAAAATATGAATTATGAAATTGCAATAATTTTCATATCACTTTCATCTATTTTCTTATTATTAGATTAGATTACATTATTTTAAAGCAATTAATTATATTATATATTTGATCTTTTTTCAGTTGTTATACTATTATTATTTAAATAGATATTGTTTGTATAAAAGTCAAAGAGAATCTCAGACGTATCTTAGATCTCAATGCCAATTGTAATACTTATATATAAGTGTTGGTTAAAATAAATTTGATGTATGAGCTTAACTTATATGATCCTACTTTAACCGGATTAGAAAATTTAATTTTTTTAACACCTAAGCTCTTCTACAAAACCAAAAGAGAGTAGCAATGTTATAGCTATATATATCCACAGGACCACCGATATCTTGAAAATAAACGAAGAAAACGACACAAATAAAGACCATATCAATTAACCCCACACACTCACTGTTTTCAAAACCACACTTCTCCATGTTCATCTACAATATATCCACATACGCAAATTAAGCTGCTGGAATTTCCCCCTCACTAACTAGACCATTGGTCAACCCTTGTTTTTTCTTTGTACTTAAATTGTATAACATTCATTGATGAGAACTCATTTGGGTCCTTTACCTGCCTTGAACGCCCAATAAAAAATAATATACTAAGCCTTATAGTTAGTTAATAATGAGGTCCTGCCATTATAAAAAAATTAAGTAAATATTGATAGTTTTTAAGAATGTACTACGTTTTTCTAGCTTCCACTACAAACTTGTTAATTGTTTATTTTTGGCTCCAAGATATTTTCAAAATTAATCTTGAAGGTTACTTACATTAAAAAAGTTATGTTAGAGGGCTCATACAGTCTGTTTTATAGTTTAAGAGTGTCAACATATTTTGTCTCTGATGCATATCAATTATGAGTAATAATGTAATTTAATTGATCCAAATATATACTAATATATTTCTAGACTCTTGTCTTGTCTTTTGCTCTTTATTATATACCAACTTGATATCACAATTAATGTAGACAATAAAGACACTACTGTAGAATGTCTAGGAAAAAGATAAATGCGAGAAAGATTGATCTCAGCTCAATTAAATATGAAAAAAGAAGGAATAAAGAATAATACTTTTTTGAATTTTTTATAGTAAAACTTCATTTTTTGAGTAAAATTACGAATCTTTAGAAGAGATTTTCATGCAATTTTTTTAATATGCTTATGTGAATGGTTTGTCATATAAAATTATACTAGAGTCACCATTAATCTTTAGTATTTATTTTTTATTTTAAGTCTACTAATAATTAAGATATCTTACAGTCTTGTGAAAAGTATGTGTCTGTGCTAAGCTTATACAAACTATCTTAATATTAAGTATTTGGTTATATTTTTTATTAACACATCAACAGTGTATTATTGTATAAATAAATTGGAGATCGATGATTTGATCCGATAAACAAATATGTTACATGAAGTTTGATATATACAAATTTTAAAAAATAATATTGTGTATGCAAGTATATAAAAGTATATTGATCCCATTTTTACACACAAATCTATTTCATAAGTTTTTTAAAAAAATATTTAAATAATTTATGACAAATGTAGTAATTCATGTTTATATATTTTAACTCAAAATGAATCCGACTTATTTTATAGTAAGAAAATAACAAAAAAATAAATAATTTTCATATTTAACCACTTGCATTGCATGTGCACAAGAACTACTATAGCTAAATATAACTGAATAATATGCAAGGAGCACACACCTCAGCATCCACCATTAAGCGTAATCTATTTGCAATAAGCGAAAGCTCCTCGGCAACAAGGGAGAAGGGGTCCAGTGGTTCCTGAAAGTGCAAAATGACAGTAACATGAAGAAAACTTGGAATTACATGCTCAAGACCACATTAAGAATGCTACTAGCCTACTAATATGTATGTAACACGGAACTGGTGACTTAACTGTAAACTTAAATCACAAGGTACACAACAATAACAACAAGATGTTATTCTGTTCTACTGTGTGTCAGATATATGAATTCCCTTTCTTTATTTTGTATATCTTAAGAATAAAGGGACATGAAACACGAAAGGAAAATTTTGAAGAAAAATATTTCCCCCCCTTATGAAAGGTATCCAAATTGTATATGAAATGGTTTCCCCAGTCAGATTTTTTCGTAGAGAAATGAAATAAGCAGTTTCAAGCAAGTTCACCAGGAAAATGAGATTGATACCAAGAAATATTTCCTTAAATTTGTCAATTTTTCTAATACAATTTGGGTGTTCATTCTGTCAAAGCCACAGAAGGGTATTCATACCGTTTGATTTCATTTTTTTGGGATAATACTTCCACTTTTTAAGTTCATATGGATGCAAACAAATACAAGTAATTGTTTCATTAGGCAGGAATTTGCTTGGCATCAAGTCAAATAAATACCTCAATAACTGAACTCCTGGCAGGATGAATAAGTGATGACATGGAAGCAATGGAAGCCCCACACCGAAATCTCTCTGGAACCCAAATCCTGCCAATATCAGCCCACTGAAAATGTACATATACCAAAGTAATTCATGCATCAGAGCATATGCAATCACAAAAGCAATCAAATGAACCTCAGGAAAGGCACATGTATGCACAACACTCAAAACATTTGGTAGAACATTTCTGCAATAACAATGTTGCTATCTTTGAGATGATTAATGAACAAGAGACACAAATCCTAACAGTTACGATATACCATCTTCGAAAGAACAAAATTATACTCCTCTAAATGCATACATCGTATTTTTATCAAATGTCCATTCCTTTGGAAATGTTTAAAAAGGTGCAATATTTCAAAATCATTTTTATCAAAGGACAAGATTCATGACGAAACCTAAGCATACTTATGACATAAACAGAGAGGATACACCAAATGGGTGTAAAAAACTTTTGAATTGTTCATCCAAGTTAAATTACAAATAGAAAATAACAACAATGTCAGGCTTAAGGAACTATGTAAAAGTTTCAATTTTCTCTATTTACAGGTGACCTGCTCTAGGAATATTCAAACATGATCTTGTGAGTTGTGACACACCATCGTGCCCTCCTAGGACGTAGAATATGCAGTCTCCATCATGTTGACGGTTTCGTTCCGCATGTCAATATTACGCATGATAACGCATTGGCATCAAATTAGCTAAAATTAATTTCTACATCTAAAACTCATCAAAAGGTTCCTAGGAATAATTATATATTCATAATAGTAAAACACCCATTTCAATACATGCGAAAACAAAATCTCTAGCATTCAATAAGATTTTGTTAAAGATGTATCGGATGTATATATATATATATGGGAAATATGATTCTAAGGAGCCACCTTAGACTGAATTTAAGGATGCACCTTCAAAATTATATTACACACAATCAATTTACTTGATTCACTCTGTTCATTTTTATCTAAATAATTCAGATGACATATAAACTAAAAATTAGGCATATTGGGTTGTAGTTACTAATGCATCAAGTGATAGTAAAATTAACGGTTTCACGACAACACAACTAAAGAGACAATGAAAAATATATATTAGAAACATCCAAACATCATGATTTTTATTTTTTAGATGTTTTAAGGCGTTTAGATCATGATAAATGGAGAGGATCGTTCATTGAAATAGCCCAATCTATATATGACCACATAGCTCTTAGTTTTCATCTAAAGGTGACTCCTTAAATTATATATATATATATATATATTATATATATATATATATATATATATATATATATATATTATATATATGATGAGAATGGGTATGCTTGGTACCAACACAAAAAGTTATGCTTGGTAGTGAGTTGGCATAACCCCTTCACCCATTCATAGTTGCATATCTCATTACATTTTCTAACCATGTGAATGTGGTCCCCCATTAGAATGAGTGGAGGAGGTGTATACCTCACTACCAAACACAAAATTTATGCTTGGTACCAAAACATAACCCATATATTTCCTTTAGTATATATATATATATATATATGATATTATATATATATATATATATATATATATATATAATATATATGAGAATATGGGTATGTTTTGGTGCAACGCCAAAGAATGGTTGTGCTTATGGTTAGTGGTTGTCACATCTCCTCCACTGCATTCAATATGTCACATTCACGTGGATAAGTGAGTGGATATATATATAGAGAGAGAATATGGTATGCTGTTACTAAGCCAAAATTTATGCTTGGTAGTGTGAGGTGGATTATTATCCTCCACTCATTCAAATGAGGGATACAGTTCATAGGGTCTGAATGTGGTCCCCCGAATTGAATGAGTGGATGAGGAATAAGCACCTCACTACCAAGGACAAAACTTTATGTTGGTACCAGTATACCCATTTTTCTCATATATATCAGTATATATATATATTATATTTAATCCTATATATATATATATTATTTCTATTATATTGAGACATGCCATCCTTAGTTTTCAGTACTAGGTGACTCCCTTAGAATTATATATATATATATATATATTATATATATATATATATATATATAATATATATATATATATATATATTGAGAAAAAATTGGGTATGCTTTCTGCCTACCAAACACAAAAAGTTTTATTGCCTTGGTAGTGAGTTGCATTAATCCCCTTCACCCATCTCAAATGATTGCATATCCTATTACATTTTCTCAACCGCATGTGGATTGGTCCCCCATTAGTAATGAGTGGAGGAGGTGTATCGACCTCACTACCAAACACAATAATTTTATGCTTCGGTACAAAACATACCATATATTTCGCTTATTATATATTATATATATATGATATTATATATATATATATATATATATATATATATATATATATATTATATGAGAATATGGGTATGTTTGGCTCGAACGCAAAAAGGTTGTGCTTATGGTAGTTGGTGTACATCTCCTCCACTGCATTCAAATATGGATCACATTCAGTGGATAATGAGCTGGATATATATATAGAGAGAGAATGGTGATGCTGCTTAATAAGCCAAAATTTATGCTTTGGTATGGTGGAGGTGGATATTATCCGTCCACTCATGTCAAATGAGGATAATTCATATGGGTTGAATGTGGTCCCCACCGAATTGAATGAAGTGGATGAGAATAGCAACACTCACTACCAAGCAACAAAACTTTATGTTGGTACCAGTATACCCATTTTTCTCATATATATCATATATATACCTATATATATATATATATATATATATATATATAATATATATATATATATATATATATGATTCTAGGGAGCAGCTTAGACTGAATCTAAGGATGCACCTTGAAAAATTATATTACACACACATATATATATATAACCAACTAACCATAATGAAATTTATGTATCATAAGCTCTTAGCTTTTAAGGCTATTGAAGCCTTTCTACCTCTCAGTTAAACAAATAAACAAACAACCAATTATACCTCTAAAAATCCATTCCTAATAACCTAGAACTAATTTAAATATTATTAAAAAAAACTCACATCTTAGTCTTGGCGGCGGCGGCGTCAACGCATTTCTGCTAAAAATATATCTCAGCAAAACTGACGGAGGGCTCAGAAGAAGCCATTGGAGGCTGCGCTCTCGAGCTCGCCGCCCTCCCAAAACCCATATCAAACCCTCAGCAAAAATATCGAACAGCGAAATCTGAAGACCATCGCTTTAGCCTTCTCCACATGTTAGTAGTTATTCGAGGCACGATTTGTAGAGTTGCGGTCGGGTCAGGGAACCGTGGATCCGTACCGCTTCCTACGAGTGAACATTTTTTGGACCCCGTCCTCGTTTTTCTACTGTTTACCGTAATTGTTACGTTCTAAGAGCGAGTATGCTGAGTATCATGAACCCCCCCCCCCCTCCCCTCCCCAGCCCTAACCTTGTCCTTAACTTTTCAAAAAATTAGAAAACCCCTCTTATATTTAAGGTTTATCAGAAAAACCCCTTTAACTTTAAGATTTTATCGGAAAACCCTAAACTCTCAAAGTTAAAGTGGTGTTTTCTAATAAAATTTGAAAGTCAAAGGGGAGTTTTGTAGTAATTTTACGCATTTTCGAGAGCAAACCCTATCAAAGAGATCAGGCGTCAGCAGAGGAGACACCGATATTTTTCCTCTTTTTTTATTTTTTTTTCTTTTCTCTTTGGTTTCCTCTCTTTTTTTTTAATCGAAAAACAGGGGCTAAACCCCGTTCATTAAAAACCAAAAATCCAAAAGATTGTTTAATTACAAAAGCCTAGACATGAACTGTGTCTAAAATGTTAGAATATAGAAAATAGAACTTCTACTAGTAGTGATGTATAACTTTCTTCTTCCAAAGATCCGTGAAGATGAAGAGAGGGCATTGTCGTCATTCACCGTTGACACAGATTTTTGGAAGAACCAAAGCCAGCCATACATGTGCATAGTAGAAATTAAACTTTCTATAATCAACATAAGAAAGATAGCTGAACAGATATATACACAACAAAAAAAACTATAAAATTGATGATCCCAAGAAGTCCACCGTCTTCAAATACTTGCTCGAGATAAGAGGAAAATTTTCAAGCCTGGTTTCCTCCCTTTTGTTCCGTTCTTTTTTCACGATGGATCCGATCCGCTGGATACTTGTCCTCCCCTATTGATACAAGCCAATGCCAGCACACTGATTAAAAAGGGTAATCTCGGAGTTAATTATCCCAAGGGGGCACAAAAAGATTCACCTTTCCCTTTGTCGAAGCGTTAAGCAATTGCATTAAAGAAAATTATTCCGTGTGCTTGGAATGCAAAGCGCTAAGCAATTCGTCGAGATACTGGGTCCTTCATCGGCAGCGTCAGATTGATAGAACGAAAGGTACATCGCCGACCAAATTAACGACAGCTTTACCCCTGATCGATTTTTTAGCATTATTTCTTCTTCCCTTACAAATGATATACCGCTAATCAAAATTAGCACTAACCCACTCCCATCCATTCACAAGAGAAGAGCCCGTTCATTTTACAAGGCATCATGCTAGCGAGGTCAGTGCCAACAAAAAATGATATAAATTTCAGTAATATAAATTATAAAGATCAGAATCAGGCAAATGTCACCTAGTTTGTGATTTGCTCACAGAATCCCACCAGAATTTGGACATTAATTAATGCCTCCCTTCTCAAATGTGAACTAGCTCGTACTAATCCGAGTACTCAATAGTTCTCAAAAAATATGGGAAATGCGAAGCGCAAAATAAGCCAAAATTTGTACGCTATATATATAGCTCGAGAATCATATTGAACAAAGAACCACATCAAACAAGCAATCAGGGCGCACGTATCTTTCTCAAACGCTTTAGCAGTATTACCACAACAAAGGGTTGCATAATACCGTCAGCTTTTCGACCAAAATCATATATAAAAAATAATAATAGGAAAATAGCTAAGGGCTGGTAATTGAACATACACTAATATCTTCCCCCTGGCGAGAAAATATAAATATAAATATACATGCAACTGAAGACATGGATCGAAGTGGAAAAAAAATCATGTTTATATTCATATCATGTAAGCACCATAATCCTCCATACATTCAAGCTACTACAACTTACAGGAAGTAAGAAAGTTATATCTCTCTCAGTGGTGTTGTTAATGATTAAACTACGAAACAGGCTCTTAGTCGTAAATGCTTTATTATTATGAGTAATTTAAACGCTGATGTATAATATGAGCCGCCCTGTTCATAGATAATAGCTAATAACATTGGATGACATTTAAACTTGTCATACTTATGATTTGTTACATCTGAAATGTCCTTCAAATGATTTCACCATTCAAATAGTTAAAAGATACTGTACCTAAGCCCATTCACTATACTTCCAACAGAGCATCAATTCTTCTAATAACAGCTATATTTACGATATAAGTTATGAACTTAAAAATATTATTAGAAACAAAAGCGCACAGGAATCCAAGGGCAACAAACCATATCAAATAACAAACCTTTTAAGTTGTATAACTAATAGCAGATATAAAATGAAATCATCTCCCAACAAGGAAAATATCAAACTTGGCCTTGGGCTCACCTTTCAGACAAAAAATATATATACATATGCTTTACTTGTAGTAGAACAGAACACGCATGAGGAAAGCATGATAAACAGGATGGAAAAATTTCAACTTTGGTACTTCCAAAGATCATCAAGTTATATAAACTATTCACAAAGAACAAACTATTCCAGAGAATCATATGTCCTCCTTTGAGACTCTTAACTAAAATTTTGCAACTTCAGTCACATCGGTACTCATATATCAGTAAAGCGGTCCGCATGGCTTAATAACAATGCAAGTAACACCAATGAACTAGGAATACTAAGACACATCACAAATATATGAGCAACATGGAAGACATCGCGCGTAGGAGCTTGACTTCTATAAGGAAACCTAGCAAACCCTCTGGACCACTGCAAATCATGCAGTACATAACATCCACAGACTCTCTAGCCCACACCAACGAAGGAAGAAAAAAAACAGTACAAGGCATGCACCCGGCACCCAGAATAGTATAGTTTACGATACACAGCATATTGTACAAATACATGTGCGCGCACAAAGTATTTATATATGGATGTGGATGCGAGGGCAGGGTGCACGCTTCTTCCACAATTGATATACTGAAACCCTATGAAGCATCTTCCAGCGTTCTCCCTTTACATGTGCAATTTTGATTTACAAAATAACTAACAAAGAATACAGACAGAAAATAGTATAATTTTATTACAATCAACTGATCAAGGTTTTAAACATCAAATAGTGGGGATATCAGGAAATATCGGACTGCCAAAATCCGTATCGGATTGCAGATATCAAGAAAACATTCGGGCTGTGTAGTAGATACGGGAGTGCTATATCAAACGATGTGTAATAATATAATGTCCTAAAATGCAATTTAAACATACTTCGGAATTTAAGGATACAAAAATGTAAATAGAATATGTTTAGGATCCTAACAAAATGTAGAAATTGATGGAAAAACTTCATAGGGCTGGATTTTTTGCTAAAAAACATTAAAGAAATTTTGCAAAACTATATTGTTTCGTGACAAGCCAAATAAAAGGACATACTAGCCAACATATTGGCTGATATATCAGCCATATCGGGGATATATCGTTCAAAAGTTGCCAAAAAGCAGTAAAGGATACTTGGTGTCTAACTTGTTAACATCAGATAGTTCAAAAACTTCACATACAAAATAAAGGCAACAGGGAGTTAACAGCAAACAGAATGTTATCATGACAATAACTTTGCTTCTTTAAACCTCAAATATAAGTCCACACACTTACACTACACTTTAACCATATAACTAGAATATCCTGCAATACCACTGATAAGTTTCTTTTATGTAAGTTTAATTATCCAGGATGATCTAACTGAGTCAACACAAAATAACGGTTAGGTGGAAAACAGTGAAACCATACCTATGAGACACTAACATGGTTTTTGCAGACATCTATGAGCAACAACATAAATATAGTGTACAGACTACAGATACATAAGTTTGAATTTAGATAAGAAACCCGTCTGATAAATGGATAGACACGTAGACAAAGACTATATGAAAATCCTTTAAAACACATAAAGCACAATACACACAACACCTGCAACCATGCATCTTAACAATACTGCAAACAGAACAATCAAAAAATAGCTACACAACTGACAAGTGGACATTAGAATGAGCACAATTTTATTTACTTAGAATTTTGTAAAGGTACGACAACGATTAAATATATAAATAGCTAGTAATTCTAGAAATACTAAACACTACTGGCTAAACTAGTCGATGACTTTGATTGCGAGGAGATAATTCCTTCTTGAGGTTATCACGAGTTCAAAAGTAAATAGGCTCAAAATCAAAATTGACAGTCAAGGCTGAAAATACAATCTCCAAACAAGCAGAACCAAAGTAATACATAAAGAAACCATCAAAATAACTCCAACAAGCATCGTCAATAATTGGAAGTATCAAACTCTCCTATACATTTAATCCAAAAGCATTTTGTCCCATATGACCGCACCAAACATCCAAATGCCACATTCCGGTAACAGGGTTATTAAGTTAAAGAGTTACGATTTCCGAACAATAAGTAAAAAAATTGCACAAAAATCCCACATAAAATTATCATCTTATCATTCATGAACCAAAATCAATTGAACTGTCAAGATACTCCGACAGTTTTCCCTGACCATCCGGTCATTCATTCCACAGATACAGACGTACCAATAATCAAACATCAACCCCTCAAAACTTCATATAACTAACAAACTTATAAAACTATAGCAAGATACCAAAACTTTTCTCATATGGGCACATATCTCTTAACCACCTGCTTCCCGCCAACCATAGCTCCAACCATCAGGCCCCCGATCGCCCCCGCCAACCATAGCTCCAACCATGAATTCTAACATTTTTTTGCAAATCTTATGCTTCCTTTAATGTAAAAACTTTTTAATCTATGTTCTAAAATGTCAACTTTTCATCTATGCATCATAGGAGTCAAGAGTTGGATTATTTCTTAGACTTCATAATCATGTCGGTTGCAATAGGTCAAGGAGCTAAAATATGTGTATTTTCTGATTTTGAATTTTCTCATCACTGGTTTCTAATTACACTTCCAATACCTTTTTAAAGCTACTTTTTCTTTATCTTCTTCCCTTAATTAAGCTTGACCCTTTTATATTTTTCTATGAGGTTGAAGGTTCAGAAGCTCCTTGGTGATCTTAAGTTGTCTCTGGATTCCTAGAATCAAGAATTTGAGTTGGAGTTGGATAAAAAAAGAAATTCCTTCGAGGAAGATCTTAAAGAGAAACTGGATGATCTGGAGAAGAAGAAAATTGAGATTAGCTATAGAGAGGAGCAAAATTTGATGGGAGAGCAATTATTGGATGGCAAAATGCAGAAGCTGCAGGATAAGGAAAAGGAGAGATGCAAATTTTAGATTATTGAAGGAGAGGAAGGAATCTTTATATAGAGAAAAAAGGCTGGAGAAGTGCAGCTAGCTATAGATATTTAAAAGTTGGTTGCTTCTAAGGTCGAACTTAAGAGCTCAAGAGCTGCAATTTATATCGAAAAATAAGAAGTCGTTGGAGAGAAGGAGAATCTCAAATCAATGCAACTGGAAACTGTATAACTATTCTCTATAAGAATTTTCAAAGTATGTCTTTTATAGTAACCAGCCTTTTTCACACATTTATGCATTGAAAATATTGACCTTTATTGTGCTATTTTGGTTTTAGTTTTGAGTAGTTATGTGATCTTTAAAATTTTGGTTAATGATGGCTAGGGATGGTATAACCATGAAGATAAATGCTAAAGTTTCTAAATTTCGTCAATGACAGTTAGGATCATTTTTAGAAGTTTGGGTAATGACAGTTATGAAAGAATGATCTTTATTGTGATATTTCAGTTTCCATGGCACAATAAAGGAATAAATAATTGATGCTAAGGCATAATTCATAATTGTGTATTTGTAAAGTATATATGTTTCTGATTAGGAACAAAACATTAGAAGGATGTTCTTTCTATTGGTGTGAGTCATATTTTTCTTTGCAAAAGAAAAGATTTTGTGTTTGTGTGGGTAAATTATAAGTTGTAATAGATGAAGAAGTATTTATAATTATATGTTTGTAAAGTTTATATCTATTACTATTTTCAACTTCAATAACCTTACATTCACAATTTTCTATTTATTTCTCTTTAACATTAATAAAGAATTTTTGAAAAGACACATTAATAAAGAGATTATTATACTTAATTGATGATTTATGGTAGTGGATTTTAATATTTGATAATATTTTTTTGGACATGTCAATTATCATTTTCTATAATTTTTCTCTTAGAATCAGTGATGGGGAACTTCTATGGTTTTCAGGTGATGGAGAAGGTCATTAAGAAGATCTCGGAGTAGGAAATTTCCTCGCCTAAATAATACAAGACCCCGTTTAAGCCTACAATAGTTCTATTTCAGGCTTTGCTCTTATTTCTCTTCTTTTTACTGGCTTCGTTTCTTTTCCCCCCTAATGATAAATATACGATATTATAATGTTTGTCTTTGATGCACGATATAGTTAAGAGGTTAGTTTGCATTGTTTTGTATGATGAAGTAAAATATGCATCAAGAGATAACTCCTTCGTAAAAATTCATGATTGGTTGTCACTCAAGCAACTTCATGTACATGTTATATGGGAAATTTGTTTAAACATATACTATGTTCCAAGTGCAATGGTAGAAAAGAGGCGAGGGCCGTGCTTAGCACGGGGTACATACTAGTACATAAAGAAACCATCAAAATAACTCCAACAAGCATCGTCAATAATTGGAAGTATCAAACTCTCCTATACATTTAATCCAAAAGCATTTTGTCCCATATGACCGCACCAAACATCCAAATGCCACACCGCCCCCGCCACCGCCGCCGACCTCGGCCCATTGGCAGCCCTAAACACCGCCCCCGTTCCGAGCCCCGCAACAACACCATTCACCCAATCATCCTTATCCCTAACCGCCACCATCCCACTCTCCATCCCAGCATAAAGAAGCCCAATCACCCCAAGCCTGTTCCCAAACTTTCGACCCTCGTGGCCGCCAGAGTTGAGAACCCGATTGACTCTAAGCTTCAAGGTGTCGCCTTTCTCGGCGCGACCTGGAGGGCCGAGCCAAGGCGGCCGGCGGAGGCGCCAACAGCGGCGCCGCGAGGTACCCGATGCCGGTGTAGTAGGTTAGGTTTTCGCCCCAGGATCGGCGCTGGGCGACGGATTCCTCTTGGAAGAGAACTCGGGGGAAGGTCGGAAGGTCGTAGATTTGGCGCGTATGGGATCTGGAGGTCTGGTAGGGGTTGTAATGGCGGCGGCAAATTTGATCTTGGTGGTTGGAATCGGCCATGGGGGAAATCTAGGGTTAGGGTTTTGAGAGGGCCGACGCTTTGCAGGGAGGGGACGAGAGTTTTTTTTAATCGACGGCGAAAAGGTCGAGAGAGAGAATGGAATCATACGAGCACGGCTCAAAACGGGTTTTGTTCGGGTCGGGTTTAGCTTCGCTGTTGTTTGGGGGCCCAAGAAACTTCCCGGTTTCTATAAACAGCCTAGAGATGTTAAATGGGTGGGTATGGGTTTTAAATGGGCGGGCCATAAATGGGCGGGCATGTTTTGCTCATTTACCCATTTATGGTCCATTTAACATTATTTAAATGGGCAGGTTTTTACCCGCCCATTTAATAAATGGGTCGCCCATTTACCCATTTAACTATAATAACTATATATGTATAATACTTTTGGGGTGTTTTTTGTAAACTTTTAGGGGGGTTTTGTAAACTATTGTGGGCTTTTTGCAAACGTTTTGCAAACTTGTTGGGGCTTTTGATAACAAAGATATGAACATAAACAAAGATAAACAAAGGCAGACAAGTTCATGATTGAACCCTTTACAAGCCTGGATAAAAGTACAGACCTCACACATTTGCAAAATTAACCTCAAATTTCCAAACCAAAAACCAAAAGATCAATAACAACAAAATTACGAGAATATTTAAATGAATTAAGATAGAAAACACAAGGTATGTAAGGATCTGTATAAGATCAATAACTTGATATAAATGCCATCATAACTATCAGCAACACGATCACGATTAGTAAGGACAATCTACTTAATTACTTGATAAACTAGAAGAGTAGTAAGTTCGTCTATAAACAAAATAGTAGCACAACCATAGTCCACTTATTTCTCATCTTTCAAATGTTCAGGCATGAACAGGATCATGACAGAAGAAAGAAAAGACCAAGAAACAAACATAACACTCAGTTGGACTCAATAGCAACATTAAAAGTACTGCAGCAAGCCTCATATGTGCGTCTTCATAGCAAGGGTTAGAATCCGAAATCACCATAGACCTCAATATTTCCCCTGCATCAATCATCCATAGAATTAGTTAATTTTGTCACAAACGTATGATATTGTCATAATAATGAAACACTAGATATCAAGATGCGATCTTTGGGAACCAGGGGACTAAAGATCAGCTAAATACACAAAGAACTTATCAGATACGTAATCATATAACAAAATTATGGTTTTACGAGAACAGGAAACATGATAGTAAATACAGGAACCAGAGCCAAGAGACCTGTAGCCTTCGAAAAATTGTCAAAACAACTGATCATTGCTTTCACAGAACCAACATCTCCTTTACAAAATAGCAAGAGGTCATCAGCATAGCACAAATGAGTTATAATGGACCAAGGCAACAAAATGAAAATTAAATGAAACATGTCTGTTGACCTATGAAGATACAAACATGATTAGGATCTTAGACTTTAAACTGACACCCGCTGAAACTATGAAGGACGGAGGGACGTTTTGCATGCAACTTTGACCAAAGAGAGTAAATACCGGGTTGGCATAGTTTTGTAAATACTCTTCATTCATTAGACTGAGCAACATTCAAGAAATAAATGCCCATGAGATTCATCGACTCTACCACACGGTACGCACAGAAGGTCAATTTGAACATTCTTCCTCAGTAACCTATCTAATATACTTCTTCTATTTTTCTATCAGCAATTGAAAAGGATGGAGCTGACCTCAAAGTATACACACATTAAAGCTGCTAAATTTGAAATTTTCTCATCATATAGTGCGTAAGATGAACAATTCATGTGCTGTATCCATCAAGATCTGAAAAGTTAATAGCACATCAATTTTGGTAGTAAACACATAATAGAGAAACTTTTAAATTTTAACCAAGCAAAATAAAAGTGACAGAAAACATATGACAAATAACAATCATGAACAATACATTAGGAAATTCTACATTCAATCCCTCAGATAATACATTAGGAAACAAAAATAGTTCAACTAAAGTTCTGATCCTCAGTCAATACATTTTGAACTTCTACACTGCTGCCTAAAGGTGGATTTTACACAAGTTTAAATGCAGAATACAATAAAACATGAAGCAACAAAGAATGATATGATTAAAATAAACATTCTATACTTGAGACGCTTCAATATCTATCAAGTCAAATTGCGTGATATCACCAGGTTATTCTCCTTAGTCGAGTCTGAAATTAGGAAAAGTGATATAATTTTCTAATTGGCTCAAATTTTTTAATAAGGTGTACACTGCTTCACTCAATTCATTTTTCTGTATTGTTTCCTTTCAGACTTGACTGCTGCTCAGAGAGAGAGAGAGAGAGAGAGTAATCTGACTTGATAAGGTACTTTTTTTTTTCATCTTTTAACACAATTGTAAAAATGAAGAGCTAAGGTTCAGTAACCCATAAATTCCAACTTGGTTGTTTTTCAATATATTTCATACGCATATGATGTATTTTCTGTTCCACCTATAGTTTTTCCCCTACAATTGCATGAAATGAAACTGTAAATTACTTGATGGTGTGTGATTTTCTGCGGATTGTGAAGCTTGTTTCCTTCTCTATGTGGCTTCCCAGATTGAAAATGGTGAAGTTTCATGCATTTTGAGAAATGATTGGCTTCTATGTTTGATATCAAATTTTTTACAAAAGTATACCGGCAGTATGTAACTCTTTACAAAAGTAATATGTGACTAGCTAGTGTTAATGTCGCACATTTCAGGAATATACCCTTCACATTCGCTGAAAAACAAAATTATTAGCACCATAAACAATACAAATATATACCAAGATTCTAATATGCACATAGAAGGGAATTATTCACTTTGCACATTCCCAGCATTTATCATAAGCGCAATTATGCAGATAACAGAATAGCAGAGTTAACTAACATCCTTAATAACGCTTGTATCGCATAACCTTCAGTAGATTAAAAAAAAAACTATCGGTTTCATATCAAGCTACCACAGCAAGAATAAGTCCACGACAAGCATATTATAACTATATGAAGAATCTAATTAACTAGCTTTTCGCTGAAATCCCACAATTTTTTGGCCAAGGTCACCTGTCTTGCCAAAATGCTCGGTTTCCTATGCCGATATGAGATAACACAGTCAATAACAAGTAAAATCTTTTCTCTTACAGTACAAAACTGATGAACCCAGACGCCAAAACAAAACAAAACTGAAATCAATCGAACTCAATCGAACTCAAAGGAACGGTCAAATTTTTAAGGGAATACCTAGATCCGAGAGGCGGTTGAGGGCCTTGAGGCGGTTGAGGTAGCGGAGGAGGCGCGATTGGCGTCGGAAGCTCTGGGTTCGAGAGGCGGTTGAGGGCCTTGAGGCGGTGGAGGAGGAGGCGGAGGAGGAATCGAGAGGCGGTTGAGGCGACTGGCGACGGAGGAGGAGGCGGAGGAGGAGGGATTGGGGTAGGGATTGAGGCGACGGAGGAGGAGGAGGAGGCGGAGGAGGAGGGATTGAGACGGAGGAGGAGGGATTAAGACTCAGAGAGAAACGACGGGATTTTTAGGGTTTTGTTTTGGGAATAAGGTCGGGTGGGCGGGTATAGAATGCCCATTTAGCACCCGTTTAATTGGATGTAAAATAGACCCGCCCGTTTAGACCCATTTAATTAAATGGGTAGGTTTTGAACGAGCCAAATAATAGCTGGGTAAATGGGTATGGACATAAATTGACTTCCCTAAAACAGCCCAAACAAAGTGATCTGCTCGTCCCGTCCCGTCCAATTGGGCTGGACACAGGTTACTCCCAGCCCGTTACTTAAACGGGTCGGGTTGCAAGAACTTACTGAATCTAGTCAAATTAACCCGACCCGACCCGTTCGCAATTTCGCAATCCCAGCTTCAAGCCACTCTCCCTCAAGCGGGAAAAAATAAGCAGGAGGGAGGCAAAAACCCTAGGACTCCCTTTCCTCATTGATTTTAACTGCCAAATCGTAGGAATCGGGGAAAAAAAGATTTTTTAAAATTAAAAAAAAATTAGTTCTCCAGTTCGTGAAATCTTTCGCTCGACTTTGTTAACTTCTAGGGTTAGGGTTCTGCCTTCTTCCCCTTTCCTAATTATTCTCTTTTCTACCGAAAAAAAAAATTATATATTTTTCCCTTACTAAATTAGGTATTTTGTGCGTGGAGGTGACTTTGTTGCGATCAAAGACAACTCGATAGTTAACGAGG